ACTTTGCTCCATTTACCACAACCCTCTGCAAAAAACAGTAAACTTTTTGGATGGTAGCAGGTGGATGTTAGACCAGTCATTCATTTTGGCATAAAAATCAATTGAGGAAAAAGTAGTAACCTCCAGTAGTCAAATTTGACAAACCTGAATCGCAGTGTTGGAAGTTTCCAGAAATTAATTCCAGAGCATCTCCTCCTTTACTGGGTGGTTGATGTCACATTGCAAATACTATAAACTGTAAACTGAAATACACTGAAATTAGTTTGCTGTAGGAGTGATGGTTTGTGCTCAATATGTGTTTCTTTGGGATGAAGTTCAAAAATTCTTCTCTTTAACTTTGATGTCTTTCAGAACCACCAATTTTTGTCCAGGAGTGGTTTTGCATTTTTAAAAAGCCAATTTGGAAAGACAGTGTTGTTTTAAAATGTTTTTCATTGAATTCAGGATACTGGGCCAGCTGATCCCTTCTGTAGATTGTTCCTCTCAAGGTCTTTTAATATAGGTTATTGAAACTAATGTGTATGTATATTTTGGGAAGATGCAACACTGCTATTTGTGGTTTTAGTTCTTTCATGAACTCTATTAAGCTCTCGCCAAATAATTTTTATGAACAAAACAATTCTCTAAGACTGCAGCCAAGGCTATATATGATCCAAAAAATCAGATGTCAGCATATAGTAGTAAACATGTAATAGCTAGTGCAGCCTGCTAGCTATCCAGGAAAGATAAACAAGATGATGTCTGCAGATGTGTAGTGATAAATAGTGAATCTGGTGCCAAAAATAATTCTAATAATGTTAATTTACTGCACCTGGTGAGCCAGCTGGTCAGGAACCAGGATGGCCTTGAGTAATACACTTGTCACGTGAAGTTAAATTTTTTGTTGGATTTTCTTTTATGACAATTTCATGTGTTCATTTCATTAGGTTTTTATGCTTTGTCATTGACAGGCTATGAAAATCATATGAGTAACAGTATTCTCCTCCTATCCTACCTTCTCTTTGCCTCAGTCTTCACAGCAAACCCACCTTAGTTGGCTTCAGCTCCATCACTCATTTTCTTGGCCATGCAGAGACTGAGTCTTAAGACTTTTCTTTCTCTTCTCTCCATGCACCCAGTGCTTATTAGCATTTTCTTTCATGAGAGCTTGAAGGTGATTGAAGTACTACAGCTGTCAGTTCTATTGCTGGAATGTTTTTCCAAGGCATTTTCCAAAGATTACTTGAATACATTATTTTTTATTATTATTTGTTAATTTAACTCCAGTTTCTCTAAGTGAAACGGGATTATTTCATCCATTCCCTCCATTCAGATCTAAAACCACTTATAAAAGTTCTTCTAGATTGATCTCATGTGTTTGGTAAGACAGTTGTATTTACGGAGGTAATCTCTTTCTTTGAAAGACTATTTTTTTGCTTTCCATCCTCAATTTCAGCAGTGTGTAATCAGTATTGCTGAATACCAGTATTTAGTAAATCCTCATGAATAAATTCTGAGCTGTAACACTGAGAAGGAGAATTTTGGGAGAGGTATTTCTGAGATAGAGATATATATATATATATCTCAAATGGTTTTGAGAGTTTTTTGGCTGAATAACTGCACTTATTTAAGATTATTTCTTTTTCAGATAATAATATATTTGTTTGTTAGCTCTGGTTTGGAGTTATTCCAATCCTTGTAGTTCTTATTCTGTTTCTAGTTTTACCTAACATTGGTTTTAAGTTCCCTGGCTTCCTGGGGTCAAGTCTTCCTATTTAGGCTGTAAAGAAGGTAGCATGTAGCTGGGAATACTAGTAGCAGTTTATATGATCCTGAAAACTGGCCTGTTTATAGTTTGTAAAATCCTTGTGAACATTTATGTTCACAATGGCATCCTGGGGTGTATCAGGAGGGGGGTGGTTAGTAGGTCGAGAGAGGTTCTCCTCCCCCTCTACTCTGCCCTGGTGAGACCGCATCTGAAATATTGTGTCCAGTTCTGGGCCCCTCAGTTCAAGAAGGACAGGGAACTGCTGGAGAGAGTCCAGCATAGGGCTACAAAGATGATCAAGGGAGTGGAGCATCTCCCTTATGAGGAGCGGCTGCGGTAGCTGGGTCTCTTTAGTTTGCAGAAGAGGAGACTGAGGGGAGACATCATTCATGTTTATAAATATTTAAAGGGTGAGTGTCACGAGGATGGAGCCAGGCTCTTCTCGGTGACAAACAATGATAGGACAAGGGGTAATGGGCACAAGCTGGAACACAGGAGGTTCCACTTAAATTTGAGAAGAAACTTCTTCTCAGTGAGGGTGACAGAGCCCTGGAACAGGCTGCCCAGAGAGGTTGTGGAGTCTCCTTCTCTGGAGCCATTCAAAACCCGCCTGGACGCCTTCCTGTGCAACCTCATCTAGGTGTTCCTGCTCCGGCAGGGGGATTGGACTAGATGATCTTTTGAGGTCCCTTCCAATCCCTAACATTCTGTGATTCTGTGATTTAACTGAAAAGAAATTTAAATATCCTTGAGTTATCTTATGTGCTGTAACGGTTTGTTAGGTCTTGACTTCTGACCTTTTGAACTGTTTCTGTTTTCACTAAGGTGCAAGTGGCTTACATCTCACTAAACATGAAAACTTTCATGGTGGCCTAGATGCAATATCAGTTGGAGATGGGTTGTTCACTATCCTGACAACACTTAGTAAAAAAGCAACAACAGTGCAAGTGATGCTTCAGCCAATTCTTACCTACATGGCCTGTGGGTACATGGGAAGACAGGTAAGTTCCTTGGGTCTGCTGAACTTCAAGGGAGTTATAGGTTACTTGATGCTGTAACCTATAATAAGTTCAGAAAACAGAACTAGTGCTATGTAGAAAAAGTAACATTTTTCCAACCTCACTTCATTTTGGTGCTGAAGTTAGGAAGTCTCCCTTGTTGCCTGTGGTAGAGGGGGAGAGTTTCTGTAAGGACTTTTTGACATTCCTGTAAATGTTCCTGGCTAAAGGCTTGAAGATGGAGTGAATGTTTTATTATCTTCAAGGTGGGAAACACATTTATTTCATTCATATTAGTGGTTATTTGTAATGCTCAGTATTCTTATTTCCCTTCAGCTGCTTACCCCTGGTAGTTTGATCTTTTCCTTAGCACTGAGACTTCTACGTAGGAATGAACACATATGCATATACATTTATATATGTGTATATATATATAAGTATATATGGAGCATGATATTGCTGTTTTGTGGTAGAGAGGTTAACTCTGGTGGCATTTCTTAGCCTACTAAAAGGAGAGACTAATGCATATTTCTGTCATATTAATTTTGCTTGAGAAGGTGTACTTCTTAACTTTTTCTTTTAGGGCTCTCTCGCCACTTGTCAGTTGTCTGAGCCACTGCTCTGGTTCATTTTACGAGTGTTGGATACCAGTGAGGCACTGAAGGCTTTCCACGATATGGGTAAGATCAGTTTTTCCTTAGCTACATTAAGTAAAAGTTTTATTGTAGATTTTTTTTTTTTTGCACTTAAAGAAGGAATAGAGGTATGTGCCTGGAGGAGCAAATTTTACTAAATAGGTCTTTGCTCGCTTACAGTCTGTTGAATGCTTCTGAACAGTGTTGGTGTTTTTCCCTCTGCCTGCATTATACACAGGTGGTGTTCAACTTATTTGTAACAACATGGTAACAAGCACAAGAGCTATTGTTAACACAGCAAGAAGTATGGTTTCAACTATTATGAAATTTCTTGATTCTGGTCCCACCAAAGCAACAGACAGCAGTTTGAAAGCTCGAGTGCTAGCTTCTGAGCCTGATAATGCAGAAGGAATTCACAATTTTGCGCCTTTGGGTAAGTAATACTTCTTTCTCTTACATCAATATCCACTGGTCATTTGAATCTTTATCATGTTCTTCACAAAAAATACCGTGGTAGTGTCAAATGTTGCAATACTACTAAATCCTCTAAACAGAGGGGTTGCTTGTGTTTCAGGAAGCTGTGTGGGGAGGAGGTTAGCCCTTCCTCCACAAGTAGTAAGACCTTGTATGGATAGGGGAAAGAAGAAAAAGGGAGTGATCTGTATCTGTTGTAGTCATGCATCAAGGTGGGCCCCTTCCTTCTCCCCTAGGTCAGAGGGTAGCCAGTTCCTGCGCACCATCTGCCATAGGCAGACTAAGGTTCACCGACTTCACTTCAGGCACGTCAGATTTGATAGAACTGTTGCAGAAGCATAGCAAAGTTGGCTGACACAGAACAAGCCCAAGCTAGGTCAAACAGAACAGCAGAAGCTGGAGTGTAAGGGTGATAGGGCTGATGCTGCTCTCAGGTCTACACCTAATTGCTCCAATGTTGCCTATATGAGTGTTACAATTAAAGTGCTGTTCTTGTATCAATACAGTGGCTGCCAGGTAAATAAAATGCATGTGTTTTAAGATGTAAACGTACTTTAGTATCTTACAAAGGCTCTTTTTCACTATTGGTGTCTTAGTGTTTTCTGTTGCTGCCCGCTAGCCTAGCGTAGTCTATGAATGTATTCATAGAATGTGTCTCACTGTCAAAAGGGGAGAAAGAAAGGATTCTTTTTTTAAAATTTCTGGAAAAATTGTCAGGCAAGAGAGAAATCCATTCAGTCCTGTAATTCAAATTTAAGAGGGTCAAAACCAATTACTTTTAAAAAACAACAAAAAAAGGTTTATTTGACAGAATAGGGAGCTGTTAGAAATCTTCATAGAATCATAAAATCATAGAATACCAGGTTGGAAGGGACCACAAGGACAATCTAGTCCATCCTTTTAAGGTGAAAATATAGTTTAAATGAGATGAGTCAGCACCCTGTCAAGCTGACTTCTAAAACTGACCAATGTAGGGGAATTTACCACTTCCCCTGGGAGATTATTTCAATGTCTGATTGATCTCATGGTAAAAAAATTCCTTCTGGAGTTCAAAGCCTTCTACCTTGATATTCACAAGTTATTAAAAGGTAAATTTAAGAATCCTGCAAATGTTGGCACTTGGTTACTCTAAGTAATAAAAATCCTAAGCATATATGGTGATGGGTTCTTGCATGCCTTATCTCCCAACTTGCAAGGTGCTACAGTTCTTGATTTTCTGCTATAAGTGCATCTATCTTAATATTTTACTTTGAGTCAGGAATGTGCTTTTGAAATTAACCTTCTGCTTGTCCTCACTTACTACACTCTGATTCTCGTCACGTAGTGTTCTCTGAGAGATTAACTCCTCTCATTTGGGATGAAACTCTTATCAAAATGTATCCAGAAATTCACCTCCAGCCGCTATAGGTATTCAGTCATGGGGCAAGGCTAGAGCTGCTTTGAAGTAAAACACCTCAAGTACCTGTAGTTGGAACAGCACAGACCTGGTCCTGTTGTGCCATACTACTTTGCTCAAGAAGACATAGCCTAGACCTTCCTACTTCATTCTTAGCTCCTGCTATGATTAGAAAAATAAGCAGCTGCTGTGGTCAGGTTGTTTTTTTTCTATTCTGGTGTCTTTTTCAGAAAAAGATTTTCGTGCGAAACAAACCTTTTCAAAGAAAAACATTTGCGGATTTTGGTTACAAAGTCATTTATGTTATAATTCTAATACTTAAACCATTAAATCCTTCGGTGTGTTAACCATGAATTAACTGAGTTCAAGTTCTAAGCATACTGTTCAACCTGCACCTTTTTGGTTGGTTTGTTTTTGTAATGAACTCTTGATAGAAAGTTCAGAGTTTTGGTAGCTGATGTCACCTAGCAAATTTTCAAGCACGTACCTATGCATGTGGACATGTAAACTGCCTTATTGCAATAAAGTCTAAGGAAACGAAAAATATCTCGGCAGTTGTCATCATTACACATGAGATGTTATGAATAAACCGGAGCAGGTGAGAGAAAAGTGTTTTCCACAGTTCAGGTTGTAAATTAAAGTGGGTTTTATTAATAAACATGAGTAATCAATGTTAATGGTGCTGTTTCTGAAGGTTCAATCACCTCAAGCAGTCCCACTGCCCAGCCTGCTGAAGTGCTGCTGCAGGCTACTCCTCCCCACAGAAGAGCTCGGTCTGCTGCATGGTCATACATCTTTTTACCCGAGGAAGCTTGGTGCGACCTCACGATTCACCTTCCCGCGGCTGTGCTCCTCAAGGAGATCCACATCCAGCCTCACCTGGCCTCTCTGGCGAGTAAGTAGATTCACCAACATTGATGGAAGTTGGAAAACCTGAAGAGTACGATTTAGAAATTATACTAAAAGTATAATCAGAGGAAATAAAGCTGCAGGTTGTTTGAAGAATATATGTAGAATAAGTTGACAAGTTTGCTAATTCTGCTTTCTTTGAGAATGGGAGGCCCTGCCTCTGCTTGATGTACTGTTGCACAGGTCAAATACTCCAGCTGTGCTTCTGTGGTAGTGTTTGCCTAAGATCATGTCAGTCATCTTGTTCTGTATCTTTAACAGGGATATGTGTTTAACACTTAAAAATCAAACCAGTACAGGTTTTTAAATAGCATTAAACCTTTTTATCTTACTCTGTAGCTTGTCCTTCATCAGTATCTGTTGAAATAAGTGCAGATGGTATCAATATGTTACCTTTGTCGACTCCTGTTATCACAAGTGGTCTCACGTATATAAAAATCCAGCTGGTGAAAGCTGAAGTTGCCTCAGCTGTCTGCCTCCGTCTCCATCGTCCTCGGGATGCCAGCACACTAGGCCTCTCTCAGATCAAACTGTTAGGCCTCACCGCCTTCGGAAACACTTCCTCTGCAACTGTCAATAACCCATTCCTTCCCTCAGAGGATCAGGTCTCTAAAACAAGGTGAGCTTCTAGTATAAATGGCACAAATGGCTTTTGTCTTTTTTTAATGATGTTTTCTACTCTGAGTCAGATCTTTCAGTAGCAAACTGTAGTCATGAGTACCTGGGTTTGTAGTTGAATTGTAACATTTGCAGGATCTGTTTCAAATATCTTAGAAAACTTGCCTTTTCTTCAGTTGTTTGTTGGGGTTTTTTTAACTCTTTTTCCAGAAGGCACTTATAAGCAAGCAGTACTTCTCACTTGTTTTCATAGCATGCTTAATCTGCATACGTCAAAGGTATGTATTCTTTCACCTTCTCTGCAGTGGTGACAGAATATAAAGGTTAGGAAAGCATTCAGAGTTTCACTCTGTTTTTAATGGGTAGGCAATTGTCAAAAAAACTGAAGTAGCAACATATTTGTTATCTCTACTGAAGTCAATGGAGTTACATACGTATTGAAGCAGGAATAGGACAATGGGATGATTTGTGGAAGTCGTATCTAATATTGCAGTTTGCAAACATTTGCAGAATAGGAACTGAATGTTCTTGAGATTCTGGTGTATCAGCAAGATTTCTTTTGAAAGCTTTTATTTAGTTAGGTGGCATCTTGAGTTTTGTACTCATTTTTAAAATAAAAATAAATAAACCCTTAAGGATTTCTTAAAAAAAAGTTAAAAGTTTTCCAACTTTGAATTTAATTTAATGGATGAATTTTAGAGATATCCTGGTTCTGAAATTTACCTTACTAAACTGTAAAAAATAATTTCTTTGAAATATTTTATCTTTGAACCTTAATGTTTATAAATTTGAAAAAGGAGGATGGGAAAGCTTTAAAAAAAACTTTTTTTTTCTTTTTGCTGGGAAAAGTTTTGAGAGAGTAAGTAAATTTTCATAGCCAAGTTATACTGTTACGCTATTTGTACTTCAGATAAAGTTATTTTTATCACACAAAAATAGTCAGTATCTAACAAAAGAAGGTGAGTGTACATTCTTCATATCTTGAAATGTTTTATTGTGGCTTTCAGGTTAGTTTTATAAGTATATCAGCAAGGTAATGGTAGTAATATGGTAGATATATTCAATAAATTTGGATATAATTTTGTTTTGGACATAACAGAAAACTTGCTCTTTTCTAAAATGAGAAATATTTAGGGGTAAATTTTTCCTAAAATAAAAGGGTAAACTTCATTTAAGGTCTGTACGCAAGCTTTATTGCTTTTTGAGCTATGAGAGGTAAGGTTACCTGTGAAAATAAGTTAACCTGTTAGTTTAGAACTAGTCAGTGAAATGATGCCATTTATTTCACATGCCATTTAGATTGCCATCTTGTTAATAATGCATATTTAAACAGCATTGTCGCATATTTTTTATAAATAAAGTCTAGCTAATGTGTTTTCAGATAACCTATTGTAATGGAATCTTACTTTTCAAGATTTATTATTAAAAGGAATACTGAACAATATTGTTAAAGAATAAGAGAGACATGAGGGAAATGCAGTGACTAATACATTTTTAATTTCTATGCTTTTTCTGTGTGCTTTTTAAGTCAGGTTTACTAAGACACACTGTAATTTATTGTAGTTGTGTATAACCTTAGAAGTTTGTAAAGTTAGGGAAGCTATGCAGTTGTGTAATCTTAATGCCAACCGCTATTACAGAATCTTGACCTTAAAAATTAATAAATCCAATGGTACCTAAGTAAGGCAGTGTGCTGTTTTATGTTTCACATTTATGTTTTGACAAACTCCTTTTAATGTAAAAAACAAAACCAACCAATCAACCAAATAAAACCCAACACACCCTCCCTGCTACCTTCCTCCCATATAAACACCTTTCCCTTCACATTTTCCCCGGTAGGGTGAACTTATTGGAAGAAATATGTATGTGAATCAAGAAATCTTGAGAAACTCTAGTAATAAAACTTGGAAGCTCTTAACTCTTCCTGCCTACAAACCCTGCCTTTTTTACAGTATCAAACCAATGATTACAGTAACATTACTAATGTATATTACGTTGTGGTCTTAAATTCAGTCATTTTAATTTGCTTTTCTCAGATATGTCTGATCATGCCAACAGTTTTCTGCAATGCTTGGTTTTAGAATCTAATACAGATCGTTATGTTATAGATGAAAAATAATAAGAAAATGATACATTAGCTCATTTTCATGTTTTTCTTTTCAGTATTGGATGGTTAAGATTATTACACCACTGCCTCACTCACATAAGTGATTTAGAAGGAATGATGGCTAGCGCTGCAGCACCCACTGCTAATCTGTTGCAGACGTGTGCTGCTTTACTCATGTCACCTTACTGTGGTATGCATTCTCCAAACATCGAGGCTGTGCTTGTAAAAATTGGGCTTCAGTCCACCAGGATTGGCCTAAAATTGATTGACATACTTCTAAGAAACTGCTCAGCATCTGGGAGTGATCCTGCAGGTGAGTGCAATGTTTTTCTTTTCAGTTGTTGCTTATAAATGTAGAAATACAGTATATTTGCATGTTACTTTCTGATTCTGCATTTGAGGTTGACCAAGCTTGCCATTGTGCTTTATTATGCTAAGTATCAGAGTCCTTGTATGTGGGTAGTTCAACACCAGTAAAGCAATGTGCAACAAAGGTTGTTCTGATTTTTGTGTAGAACAAATAATTAGGTGAATGTTTTGAAGATGCAAGAGTAGGACATGTAATCTATTTTAAGTGCATCTTGCTATAGATAGTATGTCTAGATGTTTCAAATTAAATAGCATCCTGAGTACTGTTAAGGAAAACAAATGCAGCAGAATTTGGGCAGTAATAGTCTGTATGACGGTATAAGTTCTGAATAGCATGAAGCATTGAAAATTTTTACAGGTGGAGGTATGTAATCAAGACACCTGAACAACTAATCTGTCCTACAGTGAAATTTTTGCAGTACCTCTTCTGTTAACGCACTAGGGGTTCTGTATCTATGGTTTCATACCACTTCAAAAGCCACAAAGCATCAAAGCAAAAGAAGGAAAACTGAATTCATGTATTTCCTGTTTTGAAGTTGCTGTTAAAACCAGAAAACACACTTTTCAGAATGGCTTCCATGACTTATTTTGCCGTCAGTTAATGTTTTAGTGTAGCCTACTGCCTTTTGCTGAAATGCTGTTAGATAAGAGAGCAGTTTCCTCCAGGGCAGGAGGTGAACACAGTGAGGAGAATATCGATCAGAAGTAATCTGAGGAGTTCCTTGACCTTAGTTCCACTGGTGGAAACTGGAGTTAAATAAACTTCCATTTTGAAATACATGTTTCCTTCTATGAAGCATGAGATTTGACAGCTCTATTGGAATTGGTCCTGTCTTTTAGGAATATGTTGAAGAAAATCCTACTAGTTAAACTTTTGAGTCCTGTATCTGGTGAATCTTGCAACAATTTTTCCTTTTATGCTGAACGTTGCATTTAATATACAAAATGCACAGTTTTGAGATAGTGATGTGTATAAGAATTGCACTTTTATGTTAATGGCAAAACTCAATTGAATGTTACTATTGCAATTCTGTAATAATTTCATTAGTACTTCTGAAAAATGCATGTGTAAGTACTTCTGTTATTTCCCCTCCTTTTTTTTTGTATGTGGCAAGATCTGAATAGCCCTTTACTGTTTGGAAGATTAAATGGTCTCTCTTCTGACTCCACAATAGACATTCTTTATCAGCTTGGAACAACTCAAGACCCTGGAACGAAAGATAGGTAATGTGATTTGAATTGTCATGTGGAAGTGTGTACAAAAATAATCTGCTAAATAGTGGCTTGATGTTACTGCACAAAAACAGACTTTTAAAAATCTGATTGTATGAGAGAGCCTGAAAGTACAGGAATCTAAAGAAATTTTCCTGCATTCCTCCTGGCTTCTTGCATCCTTTGCAGAGAACGCTGTCCCTCTTTTTTTTTTCCCCTCTTATAAATGTGATAAATCTTTTAGGGTTCAACTGACTTTTCTCTTAAATACTCAGATACTTGCTATGTTTTCTTTCTCTGTAGAAAGAAAGCTTACGTTTGGCTTTCCAAGACGATAAGTGCTTTTAATTAGTTCTTCCTGTTAGTGATTTAAGTCTTGAGAAAACAGAGTTTGAGCTCACTATTGAACTTTGCTTCAAAGAAATAGGTAAATGTGTAATTCAGATTAGTAAAACACAGCAAGCTAATTTGTTTTTGAATGTTTCTTTGACCTGCTGTAATGCACTACATCATCTTACTTTCCAGAATTCAAGCATTGCTGAAATGGGTCAGCGATTCCGCAAGAGTTGCAGCTATGAAAAAAAGCGGCCGGGTCAGCTACATTTGTCCCAACAGCTCAACAAGAGAGTATGGTCTTCTGATGCCATCTCCTTCCCATTTGCATTGTGTAGCAGCGATTTTGTGGCATAGTTATGAATTGCTTGTTGAATATGATTTACCAGCGTTGTTGGACAGAGAGCTCTTTGAGTAAGTAAAGCGTACTTCTTATAACTCTGCTACTTAGTTTCCTGAAATGATATGACTTGAAGTGCACTCATGAAATAGTAGTAGAAATTGTCATCCCTGAAGCTGACTGATAGAGTGAATACTTAAAGCAATCTAAACAGGTTGTTTCATAGTTCTAAACACAAAAATGCACTTCACGTGTTCCAGGTTTGCCTGTGTTTAAAAACAAAAATCCAAAACACAACAGCAAATCCCTGTATAGATTTGCACATATGTGAAGGATAAACTGTTGCATGTTTGTTTTTGTGGGCCTTTAATGGATGACTCTGGGCTGTTCTTTTTGAAATTGAGTGTTTGCAATAATTTTCACAGTACCTTTAAATCCCAATCTTTATTAGTATCCTGTTTTACAAGCATTAGTTTATTACTCATGGTATCAAATATCTATAAATGATAGCAAAGAGCTAGGTAATGGAGGGCATTGATGTTTTTTGGAGTCACCACATCTGTTCTGGCCATAGTCTGATTTGAAAGAAACAAAGCATAAAAACTTGAGTGAATCTTGAACCATGAGTTTGCTGGATGTTGCTTGATTCTAAAGAAAAGTTCACCATAAACACCAAATGTATACTTTTAGTGACTCCAAATTGAAAATATGAGATAACATTCCTAATTTATGTTGCTTAACCATCTCTTCTATAGAAATACAGCTGTTAAATTTCTTTAACTAGTAAAGCATCTTTTATTTGTACCATTGAATACAATTCCAGTTAATGAAAGGAGCTTTGATAGCATGTAAATATTTTTTGTTACCCTTAGGAAATGGTCATATTTTTCTCCTGCCTTACTGTCCCCTTTGGGCACAGTAAAACATAGAAACACTGGGAAATATACAAGTTATGGTCATCAGTAAAAAACATGTGGAGCTCTTCTGTGTGTGTAGTGTGTGATGGTCTTTAGATCACAGAATATTAGGAGTTGGAAGGGA